GAAGCAAGAAAGCTTCGTAGCACGTAAAATAACCCGTAGGCGGATGCGTGGCATCTTGACCACGTTCGGGAAGGCAAAATTGCACTGCATCTGGGATCAAGCTGGAGCCTCGCATAGCCTTGAGGGAACGAAGGGAACTCCTGCTCGGACCATTCTTGTTCTTCTGCAACCCGGTCCTCGAAGGAACCTAAAAATTAGGCGGGGGGGGGATTCCAGCAGCATGTACGGCCTGCCAATACCTCTCGATCTCCTCGCCATCCGCGGTAAATCTCAAAAATATTGGTTCAGAAAGATCACTACCAAGATCGCTCGGATCGAAAATAGACGGATGGGCATAATCCGAAACTCTCCACTCATTGGACATGATCAACGAATAAGTATGGAATGATTAAAAGAGAGAGAGAGAGAGAGGGAGAGAAAGAAACTTCTCTACCTTAGGATAAATTATTTCAAAAGAAGTAAGTAAAGAATTTGAAACCTTACTCCACATACTTATAAGCAAGATTTTACTATTCGTCTTCAGACTTTTGGTCATTAAAGTTCCACCTAAATCTACCAAACTTGCCTAACAAGTTCAAACCGCTTGCAAGAACTCTGCAATTCTTACGAACTAAGGGGCTAATTGTTGGGGTCAAAATCGGTTACGATGGAATCAACGACCAAAACTTTTCACAAAGTTCAAAATAGGTTTATAAAGGTGCGAGAACGTGTCGCGGAGAATTCTATAGACTCTCCGAACAAAGGAGTTCTGTAAAGTTAGCAATCGCCATCATGGAAATCACCGGAAAATCAAATAAACAACACCACGGTTGTCCGACTAGCCAACTTAGCAAGATCGGCCGCAACATCTAGCTCGCCAAGCCGGCAAGCTCGCTGAGCCAAACCAGCTCGCCATCTTGGCGAGTTGAACCATGTCATCCAGCTCGCCAAGCCGGAGAGCTGGCCGAGCCTAACCAGATCGCCGTCTTGGCGAGCTGACCATACTATCCCAGCTGAACCTCACCATCCGCACTGCTTGGACACAAGGCATATGCCCCTCGACTCGATCATACTCTGAACCGTGATCGGAACGTATGCCGTTTCGTCTCGATCTGTTTTATCGTTGGTACTTTCCAATAAAAACCACTAAAGACTTGTTTTCTCGTAAAGACTTGAGTAAATCACATAAAACAGCAACGATTAAACAAAACACCAGAGTTTACCAAACTATACGATTGACTCGGGATGTTTTATAAAAACGGCATCGTATCATAGAACGATCCCGTCTAAAGTCGTAAGACGGCCAAGGCGCAAAACAGCCCGAAAGGTCCTAAAACGTGGTAAAGGCCTATGTACGAGTTTATACGAAGTCCAACCCAAAGATATGATGACAGTTTATGCGTTATTTGCAGGAAGAAGATAAATGTCAAGTTTGGAGATAAATAGAAGTTTTCCAAGGATAAATATGGAGATCGAGATAAATGGAAGATTTTCGATTGACATGAATCAAGGCGAAAAAGGAAAGAGTAAACCGCCTAGAAGAGGAGTATACAAGCACAAGGTGGAAGCCAAGCCGAGGGACGAAATGAAATCAGAGATTTCATCACACATAAAAACTTAGCACTTAGGACAAATAAGCAACTTTCCGTTTTTGTTATCGAGCTGCGTCTCAACTAGGGTTTTAGTTTTAGGTTGCTAGAACTAGGAAACTCGCCGTCAGCTCTTGTGGCCAAGGCTTTACCTCGTTGTACCGTTTTTACGCTAATTTGGAATAAGACATCTCTTTACTCTCTTTTTCGATTCTGATATTTTTCATCTGTTTATTTCATATCTTTGATTGCTTGGCATGTGGTTAGCAGATATACGGGACCTCTGGGAAACTTAGGTTAACTTAACGTTTCTTAATTTATGGAAATCGACAGTGCAAATTTTGGTTCCCACATGACTTCAGCCTTGTGACTTTACAGTCATCTAGTGAAACACCTATAGCTATGTTTGAACAATAACCATCTGGCCCTTTGAAGTCAAATAGGCACCTGCAAAATACCTTCTTCTCTGTCTTGGACGAAGACCACGGTGCAGAAGGAAGATATGTTCTCTTTCCCTGACACTTAGGGTGCAAATCCTGCTTAATACTAAGATCGTCCAGATCATTACGAGCAGGAAAACCATCCTTTAATTTCCCACAGTGCAACAATTTGGAGACAATACTAGCAGCCACATTCCTCAAAACTTGCATTACATCTAAGTTGTGCCTCATCAAGAGTTCTTAATCATAAATAAAACCAAAATTAATCAAAATACAGTCAATTATAGAAAGATATATGCACAATAATGTAGCATCATACCGCCCAGTAAGGTAGCTTGAAAATAGTTGATCTCTTCTTCCGTCTAGATAACTCATCCTCATCTACTTTGACTTCTTCATTTTCCTCATCCTCTTCCTCTGATTCCCTGGATAAACCCTCACTATCAGATCCTATATCAGTACTGATCACCCTTTTTCTCTTACTTCTAGGATGTTTAACATCTCCAAACTCACTCTTGAAATGTCTCAAATTTTGAGAAATCTCATGCCCAGTTAAACTTCTTCCCCTTCTCCCTTGTTCAGATTTTCCATCCAACCATCTCTTCTTTCCCCGAAATATATGATCTGGTTGCAGACCCTTTCTGTGGCACATGAACACATGTTTTCTGCTGAACTTTAGCCACATACTATCAGTATTCTTCCCACATAAAGGACACCCCACTCTTCCCTTTACTTTGCAGCCTGCTAGATTCCCATAAGCTGGGAAATCACTAATCATCCAGAGCAGCATCGCCCTCAAAGTAAATGTTGACCGAGTCAAAGCATCGTAGACTAACTCTCCAATGCTCCCCAGATGGTTTAGATCCTCAATGAGAGGTTCTAAGTACACATTTATACTATTACCAGGCTGTTGTTGACCGGGAATCAACAGTGAAAGCATGATGTTCTCCTTCTTCATGCATTAATTAGGTGGAAAGTTGTAGTTGACTAGCAGAACTGGCCAGCACGTACATCGTGTTCTTCATATTGAATGGATTAAATCCGTCTGTTAAGTCCAAGCCTCATGTTCCTCTCTTCTTTGGCAAATGTAGGGTATTTGGCATTCATCTGATCCCATGTGACTGAATCAACATGGTGTCGAAGCTTCCCATCAGCGCTTTTTTTGCTGAAGTGCCACCTTAGATCCTTAGCCATATCCTCAGACCGGTACATTCTCTTCAATCTCAGGATTATTGAAAAATACCGTTACACTTTATGTGGGACTCCTTTTTTTTTTTTCACGAGTGTGGACATTGGTCTTCCATCTTGAAGCCTTACATTTGTGCTCAAGCTTCTTAAACTTCTTTCTGAACAGGAAGAAGTCGTTGACACGTGCGTGAATCTTCTCGTACATCATATCAAATGTCTTCATTTTTTTTTTACCTCATCTAATGAAGTGTGTAGGACGTTTTCTCTGGTAGCATGTCCGGAAGCGTCTCTAGCAGATCATTGAAGCTCTTTTTAGACCACTTATTCTGAGTCTTCAATCTAAACAATGATACAGTGGCCAATAACTTGCTATGGCTTGCACAACTCGGATACAAAGGTGTCTCAGTATCAGCTAACTTTGCCAAAAATTCATCTTCTTTCTTGTCGTTTCCCTTTACCATCTCAGTCAAATCCCCCGTACCAGCTAACAATTCATCAAAACACTCAGAAGCTCTGTCTAACCCCTAGATCTCATCATTCCATTGATGGATGCTGCCATCATCTGCACCCCTGAGTTCAAGTCCCCATGTAGATACCAACCCCCCCCCCCCGAAGCTGCAGCCACATCCTTTACAAACTTTGAAGCCCCTCTCACATAAGCAGGATCAACCCTACGGTTCAGAATCAAAAAGGAAAAGGAAATAAAAAAGTTAACTCAACAACTACTCAAAACCAAGATATATGATTAAATTCATTACCTGCTAAGATGCACATGCTTTGTCCACCATTCTATGTTTTAACCTGAACTGGAACCTTTAGTAACATAAAGAACCAATTCATAGTAAAACCAATCAAAAAGAAACAAGATAGCACAAAACGAACGGTTACATTCGATCTATAACACGAAAGTAAATCAAAAACCTAGACTCTTAATCTGGAAACAACCCAAGGTACGAAACAGAAAGAAAACTCGAAAGAAAACAACTACAATTCGAAACCGTAGACTCTTAATAAGAAACGATACAGCTATGAAACAAAAAGCAAACACGAAATAAATAGAAATATTCAAGAACGAGTGTAAAAAATATCATTGATCTGAGCTCGAAATCGATTCAGACCTCGCAGTTGACGCAAGTATACCTTAGGTGATGGAAAAGTTCATGAACTTGCGGTTGGAATAAGGTAATTAGGGTTTCGAAGTTGTTGAATCGAAATATATTTATTCTAGGGTTTCTAAGAGAAAAGAGGGGAAATGAGAGACATGAGAGAGGTAAAATGAGACACGAGAGGGAAATGTTCTGATTTTCGCTTTTCATGCGGAAAATCACATTTTAGCTTTCCGCTTACTAAAACTTTCCATAGCGTTAATACAATGCTGTTATAGAGTATCAAACTTTTAACGCATAAACGACAGCAGTTGGTAAAACGAGCTATCGTAATATGCTATTAATGTAAACATTTTTTTGTAGTGTGTTGCAGTGAAAAATCGTTTCTTCTGAAGGCGTGTCTAGAATAATGATGATTATCCCCAAGAGAGGCGACTGTTGCAGTTCCTACTCGTGTCTCTCCATCAAATTACAATTAGAGGCATGCATCGCAGTGAGAAGTCATGTCTTCTGAACCCGTGTCTTCTCGAGGCATCTATCATTCAATTACAATATTTATTTCTAAATACAATCCTATATCATAGAGGATCATCCCGATTATAAAAGGGTTTATCACCTTGTCCTGATAAATAAAAAAAAAATCTCTCCATTTACTTGATAAAAAATATCTCTTCATGGCAAACTCCAATTTAAATTTTATGTCTCATTCCTTGCTTCATACGATTCTGTCCAAGGTAGCAACAAGCAATCTCCAGGACTTCGATAGTGCAAGAGTTGCTTTCTCCGGGTTCAATCTAATTGGCAGAGAAGAATACTTCTACTGATATGCAGATGTCTTTCACTTGAATGACTATGCTTTTACATCATTCAGGCTTAGGTCCTTCCAATTCGGTAATCCAGAGGCCATCCACTTGCGAGGTATGTATGATTTCTTCGTCCTCCATTAACTTGATGAAGGAAGGGAAAAAATACATCTTTCTGCTGAGAGAGGATTGTTGTTAGCCAAGTATGTAGATGGTATGCTGAACTTAGCATTTAGTGTTGATGATAGAGGATTGGTTCACAACCATCCTAGTTTTACTCATGAATTTGTTGATCGGATGTATCATATGATCACTAGAGAGATATTCTCAGGCCATTGGGCTTCTAAAACCTGAGATGTTTATGTACCTAATTGAAAGAATAGATTCCAACCTGTCATATTATAGCTGGTGCTTTAGAATAGTATAACCGGCATTTGTAGTCTCCATAGATGGATCAAAAACACGGTGGAGACCGATCATTGTTTCTGGCAATGTGCAGCTTAGGACATCTGCAATGATATTCATTTGACCGCTGGTCCCTGGCCAATCGAAGATTAGTTGTTTTTTTATGAGTTATGACATGTAATTTTTATCTACTTTTACTAAGTTTATGTAAAATACATTTCACATAATGTATTGTCTCTAGTTTTTCTATATAAAGTAATCTTTATTTATTTTAATTTTAATAAATATATAAATAACAACACTCTATCCAAAAATAACATATTACAAATATAAAAGATACAATCAAAACTAGTTGAAGTTTTACTTGGTTGTACAGTTACTAAAAGTGTGATTTAGTTCAACTTAAATTACAGTTACACTTACACCAAATTTTACAGTTACACAAAGGCTTACTAAGTTCTCTCTAGTTATGGAGAAAGAGATCCAAATTTTACCCAATTGGGTCTGGCTGGTCTGCGAAATACCCCTGGTTGGCTTATAATTGTCGATGTTTCTTTTGGTTTGTTGGTCTTTTACTAGTTTTTCTGTTTTAAATAGAGGTTTATTTAATTAACTTTTTGCGCAAGAGTATTACAGAATTTTTTTGTTCGAGCGGAAGTACTGGAGCATTTGATTCGTATTTTTTTTCATAGTTAGTTTGTTAGAATGAAGATTATGCGTTAGAAGAATTGTCTATGGAAAGTTAGTTCTTTGAGGTAGTTCACAAGGATCGAATAACGCACTTGTGATTACATGTTAGATTGCGAGCGATGATGTTATGTGGAAACTGGTGTGTTTATGTGAACAAACGTAGAATTGATATTGAAAATAATTAGTGTGTCAAGTGAAAAAAGTTACAGAAATGATGTTTATTTAGGCTGGTTAATTATGCATTACAAGTTATGAGATACATTAGATAGATGACACTACAGCCGATAATTCTACCAATCTTACGAGGATTCATGTCTGACTGCATCACCTTAAGCAGCTATATGAGATCCATTTTTAATGGTACTCCTTGCGCCATGTGGAAGAATTCTTATAAGTCCTTTCTCCCGTATTCTGCATAACTCGCTTTCTCCGGGAATTGAAAACTAGACCTCTCAAAGCATTACATAAATTATTTATGATGAAATTAATAAAGGAAGGAATGAGAATATACAAACAAACCTTGAATTCTGAAAATGCTAAAGTAATAAGAAATGCATGAAATTTACTAAGTAAATAAATTATATAAACGGATGCTAGATTGTTAGTTTGAATGCTTAAAATGGATAAGTAATAGGAAAATGGTTAAGTAATGAATGATGGAAAGAGATTACTAGGTTGATAGAATGAGTTTCCTAGGTTGTTAGAATGGAACATTGAATTGGAATGATTGATTATTGAGTTATATGTGGACGTTTTTCAGCGTCCTCACAGAATAATTTTGTATACCCATGCCTTCTTTTTGATATATGTAACGTTTATGGTGTGGACCGGAGATAGAGGTTATAGAGACCGTTAGGAAGGGTATTTTGAACTTAGGTAATGATTGAAAGTTGTATTTTTACTCTAAAGTACAACAGTTTGAGTACTCAGTTCTGTGTTTCATTAATAAGTTGCAGTATTTCTCATGTTCATCTGAGAAGTAAATAATATAACTAGGTGCTAGGTTGTTAGTTTTGAATGCATAAAAATTGATAAATAATAAGAAAAAGACAAGTAAGGAATCATAGAAATTGATTGCTAGGTTGATAGAATGAGGTTGCTAAGTTGTTAGAATGGAACATTCAATTTGATTGATCATTGAGTTATATGTAGTCGACTTTGAGCGCCCTCACTGAGTAATTTTGTATAATCATGCCTCCTTTGTGATGTATGAACCGGAGCGCGAGTCTATAAAGACTATCCGGAATGGTATTTTGAGCTTAGGTAATGTTTGGGAGTTTTATAATGATAATCATAGTGTCAATTACATAATTTTAAGTACCTAGTCTCTTGTTTCAGCAGTATTTTTCATGTTCATTAGAAACAAAAATAATAGAACCAGATTTTAGGTTGTTAGTTCATATACCATGGATTTTACCCATTATTAGCCATGGTATATAAATGTTTTAGGATATATTTACAACGATATAGAGTTTATTAAGAGTGTTTACAAGTTCATGACGATTTGGAGGAAAGTAGTGATTTTGGTGTCTTTTGGAGCCTTTTGAGTGCAGAACTTCACATACGCTTCAGATGTTTAGCTATAGATGGAGCGCATCCCATGGTACGATAAAGATGATCGTTTGACACAAGATATATCTTTGAGTTATATTTCGAATGCCACCGGTTTGAGGTCAGTCCAACAGTTAAATCAGAAGTTATGCCCATCTTACGGAGGAGTGGTCAGTCTGCCTCACGAGAGAAAGATGCCGAGAAGATGAAGGAATGCCGATCGACGACACGGACTTGGTGTCGATCAAAGATGATGCCAGAAAGCGGGCCAAATATATTTCAAGAACGACTAAAGTCTAGAAGCCGCTCAAAGTTACCAAATTACCCATGGATGACTAGAAAACCTATTTATGTATTTTTAAACCATTTTGGACGGCTACACCACCCTACGTTTTCTTTGATTCCTTGTTATATGTTTTAGAAGAGAAGGGAGGAGATCCTTCAGACTCCTCAAGAAACTCCTTTGGTTTCTTATTTGGTTTTATATATTTTATATCTATTCATCTATGATTCCGGTGACAAACTTCATGATTGAATAGATCCACTTATTGGATTTTGGGTTCAAATAGGTTATGAGGGATTCAGCAGCCTGTTCAAGTCTTCGATCCATACAGAGAGAGAGAGAGAGAGATTCTGGCACTAAGTAAGATTAATTATACAGTAAAAGTATAGGTAGGCAGAAACTCTATCTGTTGTAATTTTTTTTTTCTATCATATTCTGGCTACAGGGAAGTTTCAAAGCAAGAACCATTCAATCTTGTCGTCACATATGGTTTATTACCGTATGTACACTAGGTGGGTCCCAAAGAGTTTCCTACCACACCACACGCCATTTTATCAATCAATGATATGCCCATCCTTGTCAACAAGAGCTCTTCATAAATTGGAGCCGAGTTCAAATAATTTATCAGCCCCAATACTCAACAAATACAACAACTACAACAAAGCTTTCATAAAAGAATAGTCTAGTAATGATATCACTCAAATTACCCTAAAGAGTGAATTACTCTCTCAAATAAGAGGTTCAGTTGTAGTACTTAGGGATCAAATCCACAAGGAACTAAGGAACACAAAAGATATACTCCTTAGTGATTATGCTAGGTTGATTAAGTTTAAAAGTAAATTGCAGTGGTGAGCAATGGTGAGTTGCTCAAGAGAATTGGTTTAGGTTTTAAAAAATAAAAGAAAGTAGTTAGATTCAAACTTGCTATTCGGATAACCAGGATTATAATGCTACATGTATCTTAATAAGTTGCTTGCAAGATATTAAAGAACTTCAACTCTTAGATAAGTTTATTAGCAATCGCTATCTAGAATCGTCCATTGATCTGACTGCCGGCAATATCGACCGATGTTTTGACAGCGATATCGGACGATATAGGTTGCCGTCAATCGATTACTCTATAGGAGTATCGATCGATATAACTTCAGATCGAATTGAATATGTGTTCACCAAGATCATAGACCGGCTCTCGCACGTCCCTAGAGGACCTCAGTTTATGATTATTTCAGGATGATGATTAACAAGTTAAATCATTCCATGATCATACTCTAGTTAGCTATTCAAGAGTAAGCATTAGGGTTCATCAGGATAATGAATATCATAACTCAACAATGCATAGTTAGGGCTAATCCCTCATAACTATTTGAACCCCAAATCTAACAAGTGAATCTACTCAGACATGGCTAAGTGATTCATAGCATCAAGGTAATAATAGAAATTCCTAAGATTAGAAGATTGAACACTTGGTTCCTTTGAACAACAAATCTTTTTGTGTGTTCTTCTAAATCTAGAACTCTATAACCTTATTATGAAAATGAGAATAAGATGAAAATAATACTTTTATAAATGAAAGAACTAAGCATAAAAATCATACATAGAATAAAAGCATATTCTGCCAAAACACATAGGCATAACTATAAATATGAGTTCAATTAGGTTAAAAACTCGTCAGGGGCAATCTTGTAATATTGAGAGAACTTGGGGTTCAAGTCGGCTGAGTCAAACTTATTCTTCACGCTAGATAACGATCGATGGTAGAAGGCGTACATCGATCGATGGATTATCTCAATTCGTTATCTTCTACGGAAGCGTCGTCGATCGACTACACATGATGTGTATCGATCGATATGTATCTCTGGATATCGACCTTGTTGTCTGATCTTCATAGTTATCTCGGGAAAACTCTCCTTTAAGCTCCATAAGGGCGCCTAAATCATCACTTTACTCCAAATTGCTCCTGAACCTGAAAACATACCTAATAGACTCCAAAACACACACATATATATATATATTGTAAAATCATCTCAATACCATGGTTAAAAGTGGGTCAAAACCATGGTAGATCATCTCCCCCAGACTTAACCTTTTGCTTGTCCTCAAGCAAACACAATAGTTTGTCTTTGGAAGAAGTTTTAGAAAAAACAGCAGGGACTCAATCAAATCTTAACTTAAGATCATCACCTCTACTTTGTTCCAAGCCACATCTTATATCTATTAACTACAGAAGTACATTATACCATATCCTAGCTTAGCAACCAAATTCATCTAGCCAATCAACTTAGCAATCCTGTTTATCTATCCTCTCTACTGATTTCATTTATGCATAAAATAAAAGTGTAGGCTTTACCTTGGGAGTATCGATCAAGGAACATTTGGATTCAACTCAATCAAGTTTCAGGCATTCTCATTCTGGTTTCTTTTCTCC